ATATATATATATATATATATATATATATATATATATTCAAGAATATGGGAAAATTATGCTTGTCAAAACTTTTAATCTAAATCTATAGATTAAGATCAAAATTTTTAAGAATATAGTTTGTATGCACGCAATCAGAGCTATAGTTTAGAGGAAGAAGTTAATGGATTTTTTTCTGGCATTTTGAAAATGTCTAATTCTCCCTAAAACGAAACAATTAATTATAATTTTTCTTCGAAAAAGGGATTGTTCAAGCAATTGATTTACATAGAGTAATCTTAATGAGTAATCTTCGTAATTAGTGTAAGAGAGATTAGTAATCTTCAAACTCTCTGTTAGTTAGAGAAAAAAAAATATTGTTTGTAAAATTATAAAAGATATATTTTTTAAAGCAATCATAGCTATTTTGAAAATATTCTAGATGTTTTTGCATATAACACTTTCAGACCAAAACTAAATCTGTTTAAGGTATCCGAATGGGTCAGAAACAATTTCTTCTTTTTTTAAAGCCATAATTAAGATTTTTATTTTCTTTTTTACGAGCGGGAGTTTTAATATTATGAATATAAAATAAACAAAAAAAATTTAAATACTTTTTTTAAAATAAAGACAAATTCGAGCATAAAAATTAAAATGACATTTTATCTCGTTAACAGGTTTAAAGTCAATTGTAATGCAAAAATATCAAAATAATTTTTTTCTTCGATCAATATCATGATTCCTGTGTTTTTAAATTAAAATCTTCAATATAAATTTCAAATTTACAGTGAAATAAGACTAAGAATATTATTTAGTATTGATTATTTGAACAGAACTCTAAAATTTTTTACTTAAACCATGATTAAAATAATGAATTCATACAAATAACTCTTGTTACTTTTAGATCAAAAATTAACTTTTAGTGCAAAAAATAGCCATCATTATATAAAAGCTGTATATATATTTAAAGTTTCTAAATTAAACTTTTTTTCATAATGTATGCTAGCGCAAAAAGACTTTCTCAAAACCAACATTTTTTTCGTTTGTCAGCGAGTGGAGAAACAACTACGACTTCGATTCTAATGATTGGAGAACAAAAATTTAAAAAGGTTCAGCAAGCAATGTATATTGTTCAGTATTATTCATATGGATTAAAGTTTACATATAGACAATGAAAAAAAATTCATAATTTTCGCTGAAATAGTCGATTTTTAAAAAGGTCTTAAAATTTTCTCAAAAAATGGTTAAATAACAGTTTATTTAATTCTTATTTGATCATACAAAAACAAAACAGTCAAATAACCGTTAAGAAGTCTGCATTCAAATTGTTAACTGTGAGAGAAACCGTTTATTAACTGCTTTTACCTAATACGGTTAAACAACCAGAATTTTATGGCACCAACTTAAAACACCTATGAAGCCACTTTGTTCCGTTGCAGATGGGTTATAGTCATATATATAATCTGTCAATATCATGGCCGAAAGAACTGGGGTTTGGGTCCAAGCGTAGTCAAACACAATATTTCCTCCATTCTCTTCAGCCTATGAAGAGTTTCCAGTATTCTCCAATTCCAAATTTGTGACCCTGAACTATTAGAATACGATATTCTTACTCTTGCATAGATGGCAGCACCATAAAGATGCTAAAAATCTCCAAGGCCAAGATAAATTTCTTTTTTATGGTTTTAAAACCATCATAGTTTTAAATGGTCTCAAAACCGTATAGGTTTGTATTCATGGTTTTTTAATCATACTAGTTGCAAACGGTTACCTAGTATGGTTAAAAAACAGTAAAAGTGAAAAATGTTCCTTACCGTAAATTTTACGGTTAATTGGATTGACGAACTGATGCCGTTTATTTTACCATAATTTCAGAAAGAAAATTCTAACAGAATAAATATAACGCAGTAGGGAGTTTAAATTTTGTCTATAGATGTGAAATAACCAGAACACTACATAAGATCTTGCAAAACTGCATTTAGATAATTCATTTTCTATGAATGATATCATTACTCGAGTGAAAAATAAATTTATACTTAAAAGGTAAGAGATAAAGTAAATTACTTTGAAACAGGATATCCTCAATTCTCATACACATAATCAGAAACGGAAAAACAAACTTCCGTTTCAAAGATGATATTACTTCCGATCTTGAGCTTCCTTTTGATATTTTACCCGTTATTAAATGACCTTGCCCTTGATTGAATCGGTATGTTTGTTTACAATCATTGGATAATTCCCCATTGTCAAATTCTATTTTAATATGAGATTATAAATGTTAACTATGCGTCGTTAGTATTTCTTAATTTTAGTTAATTGAAATTTTCATCTTAATTAATCAGAGATTAATTCAATGCGTGATATAATAAAGTGCTCATTTGCTATATTTGAGTGCAGCGTGAGTATTTAATAATTTGACAAAGAATTTTCATTTACTATGTTTTTCATGTTATTTTCATTGTTTTTTTTTAATTTGCGATAATATAAGCGAAAAAAAATTTTTATACTTAGCATTATAATTTACGATTATAAAATACAGTATGAAACACTGGTGTCCCTTTCTTCGTAAAAGGTACAATCTTCCAAACACAGCTCCCTTCCAAACAATAGTTTTTCAAATTTGCACTTATTTGCAGTGATTTAGATCTATGAAAAACAGTAATTCATCACTAAAATTTCTTTAATTTATAAAATCAATTATTGATATACTTTTTAATATTGCAACAAAATTTGCTACTACTTTCTGCAGTGTCCGTTGCTCCGTGGTAAAGCAGTGGATTACGGAATCAAAAGTTGGGAATTCGAATCCCGTCTGATGCAAGTTGCTTAAAGGTGTTTTTTGTTGAAAATACATTATAATTCTTTCTCATTCCTCCGTTTATGTTAATTATTAAATTTCTAGAATTTTCGGATTCTCTAATGCTCTGTTCGAGAAATTTCGATAATTGTATATGCAATCTGAGATTTTATTCAATGGAACTAAATGCTCATGTAGCATTTAGTTCCATTGAATAAAACCTCCTAATATTCTTTCGCCGTTAGTAATTCCACAATTATCTAAAGTATGTCACCATATGAATCGAAAGAAATATCAAAATACTTTTTTTGGATTTTATACATATATTTCAGTACAAGTATGATTTCGATAATTAAGAGATTTTTCTAGTAACTATTATACTGTTTTAAATAATTAAAAATACCAAAATATATATTTTTACTTATCCTTAGTAGGTCAGAAAAAAATATACATTGGGAACACTTGTCTTATCAGTGCCAAAGAGCTAAAGGAAACGAATACACAAAACAAAAATGTGTGTAGTTTTTTTTTAAGTATTTATTCTTAACTTTAATAAGTCCTATCTAAATTAGCAAAAATCGTGATGGCTCAGGGGAAAGAGCGTTCGCATTCCAGTGAGGTGAACCGGGTTCAAATCCCAGTGATGACTGGTTGATGCGAATTCCAAATCCGGCTCGCACCAACAGTGCTGACGAAAAATATTTTCGTTGATAGACGGATCATGGGTTAGAGTCCCCTTGCCATCGGAATAACCCTGGGACAATTTCATGGTTTTCCTCTTCGTGTAACGCAAATGCGGGTGAGTTCCATCGAAAGGTCCCCCACGAAGGCAAAATTTCTCCCAGTACTTGATCCAGGGGTTCCCTTGTCTTCAGCATTATTTTCAAAATTACAAAGCTACGGAGTTGAACATTATTAGTCGTAAACCCAGAATTGGGTCGACTGCTCAACGATGGTTATAATATATCTGAATTATACTGAAGTTCAAAAACCTTCTTTCTAAACCTTTTGTTTATAATAGAGACTCCATGAATATAAATTATTTACTGGCCGATGATTCCGATATACTAACAGATTTTCTTAGTAACTATTAGGCTTTTTTTATAATTAAAAAATACCCAAATATATTTTACTGGTAGTTTGAGCGTCGGGAAAAAATATACATTAGGAACACGTGTCTTATCAGCGGCACCGAGCTAAAGGAAACCAATGCACAAAACAAATATCTATATAATTTTTTTTAAAGTATTTATTCTTAACTGTACGATTCATTTAAATTAGCCTGAAGCTCAAAAACATTAAAAACCTTTTTAAAAACCTTCTTTCTAAACCTTTGTCTTTGTTTATAATAGAGACTCCGTGCGTCTCAGTTATTTACAGGCCGATGATTCCGATAATCTAACAGATTTTTTTAATAACTATTAGACTGTTTTGTATAATTAAAAAATTACCAAAATATATTTTTACTCAAATCGGATATAACAAATTAATCGGATATTCACCAAAGCGACAATGTGATTGTGGATATTCATCGGTGAAAGTCGACATTCTTTTGATTTCTTTCATTCACGGTTACAACTACAAATAAAATCTTTCATACAATCCTTACCACAATGAGAGTTCCCACTGTTGTTCTCGTCACTGTTGTCGCCACAGTTGTTGTAGCCGTCACAAGTTAGTCCGGACCAAATGCAACGACCATTGTCACACTTGAATTCGGATGGTAAAACACAAGAGGAGTCATGACCTGCGACAAAAACAAACAAATGCTAAATCTGCAACATATTTACATTAAAATACACTAAATTTATCGCAATATTGTTGTTGTTGTTGACGTATGCCTGTTTTAGGCAGAGGTGGTGATTGTTCTTGTTTCCCAGTGGCGCCATCTATGGCCAAGAATTCGTATTAAAATATTTATTTTAAAATTAAAATTTAAAACATAAAAAAGAGTTAAAAAAAAACATCTTAAATAAGCAATTTCCGTTTTAATACTTTAAAGAAATATACGTTAAAAAAATTAGTTAAAAAAGTAAAAATGCACTCATTCCTTCAGTAGAAAGTAGATTTTCTCTCTCAAATCTAGTTTTGTTAAGGTGAGGAGATTAGGTATCTTATGTCAATAATGCTAAAACTGACTTTTTTCAATGCACCTTTTCTCATAAACTACTAATGATATCGCTTTGAAGTTTTTTGGGGATATTTGAGACTATATCAGTTGTATGCCGTGATCATGTTTTAGCGTCAACAGAAACACTTTTTGAATTGTGAAACTTTTTTGATGAAACTTTTTCTTCTTCTTCTTCAGCACGATAGCCCCTTACAAGCCTTGGCTGCCTCAATCACACGTAACCTCCAACGCCTCCTGTCCATGGTGACTTTTTTCCAGTTGTATATCTTTAATACTTATAGATCTTTAGCAGTGTCATCTAGCCATCTAGTTGGAGGTCTTCCTCCAGCCGAGATCCCGGAGGATTTTTAAAGGTGGCGATTCGAACTGCATTATTTTCTGGACCTCTCAAAATGTGGCCGAGTCATTTTAATCTATTGCTTCGGATGACCTGCACTATCTGTGGCTGTCCATAAAGTCGATATAATTCAAAGTTGTATCTGATTCGCCAACAGCCTCTTTTCCGTACTGGGCCAAAAATATTTCTAAGGATTTTCCTTTCAAAAACACCAAGAGTACGCTGAGTGTCTGAGTTTAGTGTCCATGTTTCACTTGCATAGAGCAATAAAGGTAGAATAAGAGTCTTATAAATTTTAATTTTAGTTTTTCGACTGATTAGGCTTGATCTTAATTGCTTTCTTAGTCCAAAGAAACACTTACTTGCCATTTTAATTCTGTTGTCTACTTCTGTTTTTATGCTGTTTAGGTCATTGATCATTGTTCCAAGGTATTTGAATTCATTAACCTTTGATGAAACTTTTTAAAAAATTGAAGGTTTTCAGTTCATAGTTTTTTTAAAAAAATTGTCTGTCAAAGATATGTATTAACAGTTATCACAGTGTAAAAATGTATGTGTAAAAAAGAACTGAAGCAATACCTTGTTTAGATGCAGAGAAAAGACACATTGAAAAAGGTCAGTTTTAGCATTATTTGTATATGCCCTAAAGCCTTCCCTTAAGTCTTTACGCAGTAACAATATAGAAGGGCCAAAATCTCCAAGAGTTACGAAAGAAGCAAAAAGGATTGTCATTTTAACAAATTTAAGTAACAATACAAAAGTGAAAATTGACTATCATATTGCAGGATGAAAACTGACGACACTTTGTTAAATATTAGAAGCAGATGCCAAACCGATTTCGAATGGTGGAAAAAGTCTTTTTTATAATGTGTCTAATAAACCAAAAATTAAACAGGTAGACCTAACTTGGTGCTCAATAAGTCTGTATAGAATGTAATTTATAAATAGCGCATTAAAAAATTGTAATAGGTTGTTGATTAAGATTTCGCGCTATAAATCTGAAATAAAATCATAAATTTTTTTTCGTCTTATATAGGGACCAAGCACTTTCATTTCTTTCAATTTTTTAAAAAGACAAGTACAATTTTTAGTGGTATCAGAATTCAAAACTGATAATGTAGATTAATGTAATGTAAAACGAGATTGCTTTTTTAAATAAAATTTTAAGAGGTTTTGCGACCCAAATAATTGTAATGAATTAACTAAACCAGCATTTTCGTGGTTTAAAGTGGTAGTAGCCGCTAGATTGTAAACTAGCTTCCCGTGCGGCAGTTTAAAACAAAACAACTGGTGCCAGTAAGGATTTGTGGTCGGAAAAATGAATTTCAGTAACTTGAACTGCATACCTGCCAACATTCACTCTTTTCGAGAATGGATAAACCAAGTGGTAGTAAAACAGTTCCCGAAAAACTATCTTCCTCGAAAATATATTTATATTTTAATCAGGTTGAATTTCGCTATCGTAGGGACTTGTATGCTTTCATATATTTGTTGTAATTATTTATATGTAGTGGTGGTCAAACAGATTTAAAATTATTATTATAATTCAAAAATTTTAGTGAAATAACATGAATTTCGCTAGCACTTTAAATATGAAAATAAAATCTTCCGGGAAAACCGGAAGAGTTGACTGTTATGAACTTTAAAAAATAGACTTTTAATCGATAAACCAAATTAATGACTCAATTTAAATGCTAGGCATCTCTCATTATCCCTCGAACTTGATTTCATAAGAAAAATGACAATTTGAGAGAAATAAGTTATTGTTCAAGAATACGACCCGTACACAGCATAAATATTGCAGAAACTAAAAGACTCAAAATGTTTTGGAGTCTCTGATGAATCTTCCATCTGACCTGCATTAAGTTTGTAAGCAGTGAAAACCATCCAGAATCCAACTTCTTCCTTCTTCGCTGTGCACGTCCCACACCTGGTATGGTAGTGGACAATAAGAGTTAGGCTCGTATCTGTGTGGAACATCGTTTCGTTGTTCTTGTCACAGAACTCATCACAAACTAGTCCATCACTTTCGTATCCACAATGACCTGAACAGAGTTGTTCAGACTTCGAAAAATGGCAACAGTCTCTGCACATTGGAGCTGTGGTGTTGCTGCGGGATGTTTCATTGTAAATCTAGAAAATAAAAAGAAATTATCGTTGTCGAATGTAATGAAAATAGTCTATCTTGAAATTTAACTACAAAATTCTAGGAAAGCCTATTTAATGGTATCCATTCCAAATTTTTTACTGTGAAATCTAGGGAAATGAATTCTATGATTCTATGATTTTTTCAAAATTGACAAAATTATTGATTTTGACAAAATCTATGATTTTGTCAAAATTTCCTTCGAGTTTAAGAGGCGTCGAATGTTTGTTTTTATTTATCTCATGTTAAAATACTCCAACTACAGAATTCCCGAAACTTTCCTGAGAAATTACAAAATCGATTAATTCTCTGCTACTTAAACNGGGAATAAGGAATATACACCGCCATTACATTATGATCACCCTCCACCTATAACAATGGGCTCACCCAGGTTTTCATGGTTTCTCGCCCAGAAACAATGTTTTCATGGGGCACATTAGGACCCATAATCCTCATAGAAGAATCCCTGACGTCTGTAAGCTACTTTAACATAGTTGCAGACCAGGTTCACCCATTCATGGTGACAGTTTTTCCTGTGGGGGATGGTGTTTACCAACAGGATAATGCACCATGTCATAAGGGTCGAATCGTCATGGATTGGTTTGAGGAACATTCCAGTGACTTTCAAGTCATGCCTTGGCCCCCAAATTCACTGACCTTAATCCAACAGAGCATTTGTGGTCCTACTTGGTCGTGCTGCCACGCTACCCCCTCGCAATGTGAGGGAATTGCAGGACCAGTTGGTGAGCGCTTGGTACCAGATACCTCAGACTACCTATCAGCACCTCGTGGAATCAATTCCATGGCGGGTGCTAATAGGTTTGAGGGCTAAAGGTGGTCCTACATGTTATTAGCAGGGTGGTCATAATGTAATTGTTCTTCGGTGTATGTCAATAATGCTAAAACTGACTTTTTTCAATGCACTTTTTCTAATAAACTACTAACGATATCGCTTTGAAGTCGTTTGGGGAAATTTGAGACTATATCAGTTGTATGTCGTGATAATGTTTCAGCGTCAACAGAAACACTTTTTGAGTTTTGAAAGATTTTTGATGAAACTTTGTAAAAAATTGAAAGTTTTCAGTTCATAATTTTTTTTTTTAATTGCCAGTCGAAGATATGTAGTAACAGTTATCACAGTGTAACATGCATGTGTAAATATTCTGCGAAAAAAGATCTGAAGCAATACCTTGTTTAGATACTGAGAAAAGGTACATTGAAAAAGGTCAGTTTTAGCATTATTTGAATATGCCCTACCGCCTCCCCTTAAGTCTTTAAGCAGTAACAATATAGGAGTGCCAAAATCTCTTAGAGTTAAGAAAGAAACATAAAAGATTGTCACTTTAACAAAATTTAGAAACAAATTTAAGTAACAATGCAAAACTAAAAATTGACCATCATATTTCGGGTATCATTACAGGATGAAAACTGACGACACTTTGCTAAAATTTAGAAGCAGATGCTAAACTGATTTCAAATGGAGGAAAAAGTCTTCTTATAATATGTCTAATAAAGCAAAAATTAAACAGGTAAGCCTAACTTGGTGCTCAATAAGTCTATATAAAATGTAATTTATTAATAGCACATTAAAAAAGTGTAATAGGTTGCTGATTAAGGTTTCGCACTATAAATCTGAAAATCACTTTAATTTGTTTCAATTTTTTGAAAAGACAAGTGGAATTTTTAGTGGTATTAGAATTCAAAACTGAAAATGTAGACTAATGTAATGTAAAATTAGATTGTTTTCATAAATAAATTTTTTAAAGGTTTAAGGACCCAAATAATTGTATTACATTAACTAAACCTGCAATTTCGTAGTTTAAAGTGGTATTTGCCCGGTGGAAAGCATTCAACCACTCCTGTTGAAAAACTTCAATAAAAATGCTGAATCCAATATTATTATTTTACATGAATTAGATACATAATCTTCGAAATGAAGGGAAAAATAAAATTTATACTGTTAATCATACATCAATTAATCACTAAGTTACCAATAGCAACATGAATTCAAATGCAAAATGCTACCATTAGCAATCAGAAAGCGTCAGCTGATAAAGTCAAATGATCTAGTTCAGCCTGATAGGTTAAATATCTCTGTAGAACGAAAATTTTATTTGAAACAATTTGAGCAAAACCTCCAGGAAAGACTACCTCTAGGTAACAACCTCCTCTATTAACGACCACTTTGGGGAGGCTCGGAATTTTTTCCGTAATTTTGTGTTGAAGAAAACCTTTAGAAGAGATCATAAAAATCTCTCCAAGCGATCGGGCAAACCTTTGCACCAAATGCGATAAAGGCCAAATTAGGAAACACGAAAAAATATCAAAACAAAAGATATTAACTAAAAAAATAATTAGATTAAAATGCATTCAAAATATTTGTTGTGAGGCTCTTGTTTAGAGATATCTTCTTGACGATCTCTGAAAGAGATATATAACCTCATGCTGCAGTCAGATAGCAGTTAAAACGATGCTATCAATGATTTATTTTTAAAGTTGAAAGTTAAATTAGAAAAATGCTTATTTTTTTTAAAAACTAAGCATCTCAAACAAACAAACCTCTTCTCATTTTTTAAAGCTAACTAATTTTTATGATATGGAATTAAATGTAAACATAAACATAATTGTTGTTTTATTTAAAATACACTTCTCAAAACAGTTAAGGGATATTGAAGTTGTGGGTTGGTTTTGCACCTGGAGAATTGTTTGAATGATTGATACGCTATCCACAGACATAGTAGGTTATATGAGATAAAAATTATATTTGTTTGGCAGAAAAAAATTACTTTTTATTGAGAATTTGGGTACAAAATAAAAAAAAAACAATTTGTGCACATGAGAAAAACACATAAAAAAAGGCATTTCCTTAAAAAATAGTTTTAAGAAGGGGGTATAGTTTTCCCAAACGTTGAACACCTTTGAGGCATCCAGTCAATGAGGTTGTTAATGAGGGGCTGAGATATTCTGTCCTACTCCTCCAGAAGAACTCTTTGAAGTTCTTAGAGAGTTTGTGGGGGTGTATTCTAACGTCTTCTAACAAATGCTTCGTCAATCTCCTTAAAAAGTCTCGACATTAGAGAGAAATTTGTCCTTTCTTCTCAAGAATTTCTCGATATCTGTCCAATCGGAGAACAAAATTACAAAGTTAACACTTTACCGACCGATAGTCTTCTAATTAACTTTTTTGTCACCGACGCTTACCGACTAATAAGTTATTAATAAATAAATATAATTTTGCAACAATTTCATGAAAATAAAATATTTTATTAAATTTAACTCTAGGTATCCTATAATAACAGAAAGCTAGCCGTTTCATTTGAGTACACGAGTTTATTTGAGTTTATTTGAGTACACGAAAAGCTTAGCTACTGCCAGTTACTCTAGTGCGCGAATTCCCGATCCAGCGGCATTTAATGACGTGTTTGGCATTTTCTGAAATGAAAGAATTCTTGATTCTTGACTTTTTTTTAGTTCAGTCACTAAATTTCAAAGGAAATAAATGGAGATGTATTATAATATAATATATCCCTCATATACATTATAATTGAGACTTACTACAGCCAGGAGAAAAATATTTAAAAAGAGAGAGGGGGGGATCATTAAAGGTCGCTAGATTGCAAACTAGCCACCCGTGCGACAGTTTGAAACAAAACAACTGGTGCCAGTAAGGATTTGCGGTCGGTCAAATGAATTTCAGTAACTTGAACTGTTATGAACTTTAAAACATAGACTTTTAAGCGATAAAACAAATTAAAGTGTAATGACTCAATTTTAATGCTAGGCATCTCTCATTATCTCTGGAACTTGATTTCATAAGAAAAATGACAATTTGAGAGAAATAAGTTATTGTTCAAGAATACGACCCGTACACAGCATAAATATTGCAGAAACTAAAAGACTCAAAATGTTTTGGAGTCTCTGATGAATCTTCCATCTGACCTGCATTAAGTTTGTAAGCAGTGAAAACCATCCAGAATCCAACTTCTTCCTTCTTCACTGTGCACGTCCCACACCTGGTATGGTAGTGGACAATAAGAGTTAGGCTCGTATCTGTGTGGAACATCGTCTCGTTGTTCTTGTCACAGAACTCATCACAAACTAGTCCATCACTTTCGTATCCACAATGACCTGAACAGAGTTGTTCAGACTTCGAAAAATGGCAACAGTCTCTGCACATTGGAGCTGTGGTGTTGCTGCGGGATGTTTCATTGTAAATCTAGAAAATAAAAAGAAATTATCGTTGTCGAATGTAATGAAAATAGTCTATCTTGAAATTTAACTACAAAATTCTAGGAAAGCCTATTTAATGGTATCCATTCCAAATTTTTTACTGTGAAATCTAGGGAAATGAATTCTATGATTCTATGATTTTTTCAAAATTGACAAAATTATTGATTTTGACAAAATCTATGATTTTGTCAAAATTTCCTTCGAGTTTAAGAGGCGTCGAATGTTTGTTTTTATTTATCTCATGTTAAAATACTCCAACTACAGAATTCCCGAAACTTTCCTGAGAAATTACAAAATCGATTAATTCTCTGCTACTTAAACATTACTTAGATTTTTAGCAAGGAGATCTTTACAAAAATCAGATATTTGCCACTTAAAAATTACATTAAAAAAATATTTTTTTAAAGAAAAGGGGAAGAATGAATAATTAAAAAAATTATTAACATGTATGTCCTTTCAAGCGAAACAATAAAAAGTCGTTTTTTTAATCGAGGCAGCAAATCCTTACAAAATTGACATTTTATTAAAAAAAAAAGTTACTGACGAAACACACTAAGAACTGTGAAAAATTTCCGACGTCAAGACACCATACGGCCATGTAAACCAAACCACAAAAATAAACCAATCCTGGAAAGTAAATCAAATCATGAAAGTAATCCAAACCACTAAAGTAAACCAAGCCTCGAAAGTAAACCAATCTACAAAAGTTAACCAAACCACAAAAATAAACCAAACCATCGAATTAAAACTTTCTAAAGAAAAGAAACCTACTATATCACATTTAATTGTCCTTCACAGGTTACGAAACTGAACTATATTG